CAGTCCACTGTGTAGCACATCTTAAAACCTCCCAGACCCATAAGCACTTTCCCATTTCAAACTGTGTAGAAGATTCTCAAGTCTTGAGTTTTTACTTTGAAAGGGTAATGTGCCAGGAGGGCTGCGAGGCTGCGTGTAGTGTGCTGAAACTGGTGCTCATGATGAAGGATAAATCTTTGTGTTTATGCCTATGAGCTTCTGATTTCTACCTAGACATAGTAAGAATTTGAATGCCTGATATGGTCATTTATATTAGAAGTGTGGAACCGGAGTAATAAAGCAAGGAGAGCAGGGTATTTTCATTACATATTTTTCATTACTGGTAAATCAGGAAATGCTAAAAAACCCAAATAAATACACACAGAAGGCTAATGGATTGTCAGATTTCTTCGGGATACGTGCCTAACGGAGTGAATCCATAGGCAATACTTCAATGTAATAAAATGCACCTATAACAAAGACTCGTGTTTGTGTTTGCTAACACCAGTAACTTCAGCAAAGCACTAATTGGCACAGTTGTCACACCTTATCCATCTGAATGGTGAAACGCTTCTTATCTTTGTGACCTTCCAAAGAAAGTGGCACCAGTTTCTCTTTCTAATGTCTGTGCTTCTTATGAATGTTTGCTGATGGAGGGGAGACGAACTTTATTTCCCAAAGCTTCTAGTCTTGCTTTGAGGAACCCATCAGATTACATACCAATTCCAAAGTACCAGGCAAAGACTGCAGAAATTCTAAGAACGTTTTTTTCTGCATAAAATACCTAAGACTGATTTATTACAATACCAATGACTTCCACGTGGAGATGTTTTCCATTTCAGATTTCAAATGGGAATATCAACTCTGAATTCAATGTGTAATTTAGCTTTAGCTCTTAATAAAATGTCGAAGTCTAGTTTCTTTCTGAATCAACAATCAAAATTTATATTCTGGACAGTCCAAAATGGCACTTGTGTTATGGCATTTACATATGAAATCAGTTTTAAGCAATTGCTGAAAGGCTCTATAGAATCCCAAACATAGCTTGAACAGGGAAAGTAGGAGATGTCAAAGTGTACCTAAGTGCCCAAAATTACCATGTCTCCTGCCCTGTGCCAGGGAAATATTCTGTTAAACCGCATGCAGGGTGGATACAGTGCCAGACTGAGATGTCTAAATTGAGCGGTCTGCGTGTTGATACCTACATGTCTGCCGTCTGATCATAATCGGCAGAAACCCAGTCAATACAGTCAACAGAGATGGGAATGATTCAACTCACCCTTAAATAGACCGCAGGAGCTGGACAGCCAAACAGCTTCTAAGAATCTTTTGACAGAGGATGGGCATCTTCCTCGGGTGTAGGCATGCACTGCTAGCTATCCAAATTTAGACATCTTTATCTGGAGCACAATCCCAACGTAGCAAGAAGTGGCAGATGTCCACTGTAATGGTAAGCGTAGGATGAGCTAGTCTACAGTGCTTACATGAGCATTTTATTTCCCAGTAAACTTTGCACTTATAACTGATTAGAGTAAGACCAGAGTGAGCTCATGGGGATTGTATGACCTGGGGCATGAATCTCATCTCTCTGAGGTTTCTTCCCATTCTAATCTGATTAATTAAGCAGTCAGGTTCACAACATCACGTTTTCTGATATGGCTTATAACTTCTAGTTTAATGCTTGTCAGAGATGATCGTGACCCAGCACTCAGGGTATAGTAATGGGTGAAGAATTTGACAACCTAAACTGCTGGTTTTGATGTATCACAAAGTAGAGATTAACTGCTGTTACATTACAGCCCTTGTAGCTGTTGAGAAAGGACATACCAGAAAGGCATATGGTAATTTCTTTGCGACACCTTTGCCACCTCGCTGAAATGTATGGGCGTGCCTTAGCATAAGGGAAAACAGTAGATACTGGATATGCTGAAAGGTGATTGCTTTGGTGAGAGACAAACCAAGCAAAACTTCTTCCCGATTTTCCTCTGAAAAAGCCTTTATTCATTCCGGTTTCCAGATCATATGTCAAATCCTGCTTACTCCAGATGATTTTCCATTAACTCACTTGGGAGGACTCTGAATGTGTACAATTGCAGGAGAGTCGATAGTTTAGCCCAGATTCAGGTTTTCATCAATACGTGGAGTGTCCCCGTTCATGCTGCAGTCTCATCAAGACTTTTCGTTTTAGCCAATGGTATCTTCTTCGATCCCAGGAAGAAATAATTGTTGTAGGTCTTACTAGCCTCTTGAATTTCTTTTCAAATAAACCTCAATAACAGTTCTTTATTTTAGTGATGACGATGTAGTTTAGTGATAAAAAATCAGACCCAAACCCCATCAAGAGTAAGGAATAATTCCACGGATTCCAGGAAACTACAGGTCTGTGTGGTTCACACTATGCTGTTTGTCAACACCAGGGTAACCAAAGATTCTTGTTATTTGATTTTTAAATATTGCTTTGGAGATTCACCTCAGTCTTGGCTCTAGTGTTTTCCTTTTGACTGTCTTCCCTCTCTCCTCTTGTTCTTCTGAAACAGTGGGAGTCGTGGTTTTCCTGTGTATGGAGGGAGAAGCACGTGGCAGTCAAAGGGTGGGGTTGCCCGGCAGCTGCTGGAGGCAGGGGCTGAAGACAGGGCTGGTAAACTGTTGGTGAAGCTTGTTTAAATGACAGGGGTGCAAGAAAAGGGAGTGTGCTGAAATGGCTGGAAGATGTTCAGATCTGTGGGAAGAAGTAGAAACTTTGGGACTCGTTTTAATTGATTTGACATACAAATTATGTGAGTTGTGCTAGACAAAAATGATACATATGTGCATCTCTATTCAGATTGAATATAATATATGCATTGTAATAAAAGGATTCAAGTGCAAGTGGTTTAATCCCCTGGTGCAAACAAGGGGCGGGTGTATATGGGGCAAAGAACGCATTGTGGGGTAGAAAGCTCTTACAACTGCTCTTTGCTTTTGGGGGTTCACTGTGCTTTGACCATGGGGTTAGGAAAGCATACTTGCTTCTCATGCTGCATAGAGTTAAAAGGAGAAACAGGCTGCAGGGAATACAGACTTTAAATAAAAGGCTCAGATAATACTGCATTTTTCGAAGGTCAAAGAAATGCAGAGTCCGGATTAAACAGTCTGCAATATGTAAATGCCACGCCATGCATGTTGGAGTTATGCTTGAGTGCTGCAGCGGGGAAGCCTGTGTCTGCATCCCATTTTGGATGGAGTATTTGTTGCAGCAAAGCAATTGCCCAGCCCCGATTGTTTTAGTGATGAGCTGATCAATACCCCATTACTGGATGTAACAGTTGCTGCAGGAAGTGCAGAGAAGATTTTAATGCATGAATTATGCATGCTGTGCTCATTCTTTAGTCTCAGAGCAGAGTGACAGAGATTGTAAAGATGACTGGGGTAGTTTCTTGCATAAAGTGACTGCAGTGAAATGCTTCATATTTTCATGCACACAAGCAGCACTGAGTGGGACGGCCTATTTAAGAAGATATAAATCGCCGAGCTTACAGCACAGAATGCTTGATTTGAAAGCATTGCAGCCATGTACAGAGCCAGTTTTCCTGCTGTCTAACCTGCTTTCTACCGAAGGTTGGCTGAGGGATGCTAACGGCTGTGCTTTGCTCTGAGGTCACAGCTTGAAGTCTTTTTTTTTTTTTTTTTTAATTTGCTTTCTGCCGCAGGAGAGGATCTGTGAAGTTTATTGGTGCAACCATCCTTGTATTTTTCAAAGATACAAACTTGGAATAGTGATTATGAACAAAAGGACAAGAAGGAATTCACCGTCAAAGGTAAAAAAGGGGTATTTTTATTTGTGGATTTGGGTGCAGAAGAGGGAATATGCTGAGGCAGGATTATGATGATGCAGTGTGGTTACATTGACTCAGATATCTGCGCTGGAATGCAGAGTCAGGATTCTCAGGTGGATACGGCTGCATGGATCCGTCTGATTATTTTAAAAGGGTTGTTTAAGTATTGCTGAGAATAAATACTGTTATACTTTTTGAATCCTGCAGTTTGTTCAAGAGTGTGCATTTCTGATCAATGTTTTTCTGCTATAGATGACTGCATTGTGGGGAGGGGCAGGACAGTCACCGAGATAATCGATATAGTAACATGATCTATTTCATTAGAGGTCCTAACTGAATAATGACAATAAGATTTCATTGACTTTGTTTTCCTCTATCTGTACATTTTCTGTAACATTTGCAAGCTACAGTAAAATGTGTGTCAGGCAAACAAGTCCCAGAATCTATTTCTTGACTGTCCTGTAAATAACTAAGATGATCAAACTGTTACATTTTGGGTAAAAGTCTGGGCTGTCATTCAGTGAAGAGAGAAGCCTGTCCTTATTGTCCTTCAGAAAACTATGTACTGTGAGAGATTTTATGTACAAAGACAGCTATTTCTAATTATGTAATTTGCTGGAAAAAAAAAAAAAAGCGAGATTTTAAAAGCATCTATATTCTTTTCATTTGAACATTTGACAGCTTAGTATAAATCCAAGAAATTTGTCTAACCCATGTAGGTATATAGTAAAGATACCACCTTTTAAAAGAAGAGAAGATAATTTACATTATTCTTGCTTATTACATGATTTAACACAATAAATGCTTAAAAATTTATAATATTAAAAATACTATTAATATTTCGTGCATTTGTAAATTTTCATATTTTGGGAAACACTGTATTTTGGAAAATCCAGTACAAATACTTTAGTTTCTGTGATCAGTAACTGTATTGCCAGTAAGCATTACAGGCAGTCACAACAGGAATTCCTTGTGCTACCGTTCCTTGGGTAAATGCCTTTTACTTTGAGTTTACATTGTTATTTTACATTCACATTTCCTAACACCTGATGGTCCAGTTAGGATCCCTGAGTCCTTGTGCCACAGAAACACATATGGACCCCTGCCTCAGTGAACAGTGTGTGTTTGGTTGTTAATTACCTAATAATCAGCTGGAAGAATGGGGTACCGGAGATGAGGCATTGTTAATATTGCTCGACTAAGAACATGTCGAGCAATCAACAGGCTGAAGTGGCATTTTTGAACCCACCGTTCTGTGTGGGAGTGCATGCCTTGTACAGCCCCGCAGGTTAGCCGATGCCCTGCCGCCTTGGCAAGCAGCATCCCGCCTGCTCTTGCCCAGGGGTACGTCCTTTTCATCACCCTGCCTCCCCGCGCTGGGGGAAGCTGGCCATGCCTCCGGGCTAAGGAATGTATTCTGCCAGTGGGGAGAGGCGGTGCTGGTTTCTGGGATCCTGAAGGCCTGCTGGATGCTGAGTCACCGAGCAGGTCTGGGAGGTGCTCACTGGCCCCCTGGCTGTAGCCACATCAGCTTTTGCAGCGAGGTGAAGCTTGGGGAAGAAAACACACGTACAGGGATTAGGAAAATCTAGAAGGAAGAGAGAGAGAGAGAGAGAGAGAGACGTTAAAAATCCTCCCTGGCAAACACTGCATCTTGCGAGTGGTGAGTGCAAACACACTTCTGGGCGTGCGAACTCCAGGCTGGGAACCCGGAGGGGATGGCAGTGACATCAGCGAAGAGCTCACATAGTAGTAATAACAAAGATGTATACAATAGCTGGCCGCTTGCAAATGTGCTAGTCATTCTTCATGTGCCATGGAGGACTGATTATATTTGCTGTGCTTCTGCCATGAAACACCACCTGAAATGCATAATTTGCAGATTGAGCAGGCTTTCAACCATGAAAACAGATATAAAAAAGAGAGTAACTAACAGCAGAAAATAACTAAACTCCTCTCATTTGGTTAATCAGGGAATACCTAACTTCGTGTATCACAGGAACTAAGTAAAAAAAATGGAAACCTATTTCTGTGAGAGAGAATGACACATGTATACAGTTAAGGGTTGCACATTCAAATACTGAGCATGTGTGGTTTACTGAAATATGGCTCAGCTGTTTCAGTGCTTTGCTACTACTTCCAGATGTATCAGTGAATAAACATTACTTACGTTCTTTGACTGTCATACATAAAAAGCATCACAGCTACACTCACAGTGAGGTGGACGAATGTTAATCTTGTAACAACATCCTCATTTTTTTCCCCGCTGAAACGGAGGTACTTAAATTACCTGTGTTTAATGAGGAAACAGATATACCAATAAATGGTAAAGAAGTGGAAATACTGATTTTCTCTAAGAAATAATGGCTAGGATTTTCCAAGGCATTTGAGAGAGGTATCCAGGGTCCATTGAAATTCACTAGGGACCGTGATCTTTAGTCTCTTTGGCTGAGATTTTCAGAGGAGCATATATAAATATTTTAGTCACTACAGAGAAAACAGCTTGAATAAAAATCAAAGAAAACAAAGGCAGCCCAGCAACTATTTGCTGTTAATATAGGTCATTAGAGGAAGAGCAGAATTTGTTTTTGTTGTTGTTGTTCTCCCCAGTCTCCTCAGATAACTGGGTAATTATATAATTTTAAGTACCAAGAAATAATCCAGAGTACTATACAAAGAAAAGGGTTAAGAATTGAAGATCTTGCAAGCATCTTATTAGTAAGGGATATTGTTAGAAAAAAAGCAGCTTAATGTGGACAGAAGTCTCCATTAATAACCTGTTGGAATATTCTCTTTCTCGTTCTCATTATAATGTCAAAGATTCAATTACAGTACTTGGTCTTCTCAAATTGCGACTTTGCAAATTTTAACCAGCTTGGACTTAATTCTGGAAAATTGTCTTGTAATATATACGTTGGCAATCAGAGAATTGATGCCTGCTACCAGTTCTTATTGATTTTGTTCTTGCTCTGGGCTGCAGAGCAGACCCATTCAGTACAGTTAATAACTGAAGGGGTGACTACTTATGAAAACCAGAAGCTTCAGGAGCTGATGCTTAGGCATCGTGTGAACTCAAATGAACACAAAGCAGTTCTTACTTCCTGTTGCAGTAAAGTGATGTTGTCATACTTCTGAGTTACGCCTCTATGATAAATAAAAGGAAAGGTTTGTTCTTCTGGTCTATATTGGTTTTCATTTGTTATTGGAAAGAGAAAGCAGAATTAATGCATATTAGTAAGAGGAATTAATAGCAAGAATTAATGCATATTAAATGATCATGCAGTTGGAATTGTTCCAAAAGTAGCAAAATAGTAGATTAGCAATAAATACTTCAGCATATATCTTTGCTAACAGGAGCATGCTTCTAATTTATTAATAACGCAGTAAAAAGTGTTTTTTTCTGTAACTCACTGTGTTGTACACTGTTACTAGTAATTTATTTATTTTTGCATTTCCTACTGTGGTGGAGAAGAGATCACTAAGAATAATCAGATTGCTTATGACTGATTGAATACATCTTCAGAGAGTTAAAAACTGGTAATTGCATAGAATCATTTTACACAAGTAACCTATGAATGCTTCATCAGTGCTTATTAACAGAAAAATATGTCGGTATGGGTGTGACTGTATGTAATACCTGCTTACTCAACAAATCTGAGCTCTAGTTTTTCAGCAGTAACTAAGAATAGCCACGTTTTCCTTCTGTTAGCATTTCCCTGTTAATAACACTGAAGGGACGATGGAGGTGAGTTCTGGTGAACATCACTCACTGATAGCACCACAAAAACTCATTTGAGTTAGCTGAGCAGCAAGAGAACCGAAAGTCCTTCATCCCATTTGCTGAAGACATTATTCACAGTACAGTAATTTTTCAGTATGTTGGAAGCAAGTTCTTTAATCTCTTAGGAGAAACTGATGAGAGGAGCCAGTGTCTTAGGATTTCTACTAGTAGCTTTTTACTAAAAAAAGGGCTGGCACACTAAAGATTACTTTATAAAAATAATTATTCACTTGCCTTTTGAGCTGGAAGCTATAAATTAATTGATTAATGTAGGTCAGTGAAACTGTTTAGAGTTTTTCAGCTGAGCTTTTTGAACTACATCTCATTCCTTATTTTAAAAATGGGTTTAGTGTCTTAAAGCGTGGATCTGGTACAGGTGTTCCTTCTGCCTCCTGCAGCAGCAATGCGCAAGGGGCATGTTAACTGGTGGAACAGTGTGGCAGAAAATAAAACAGTCGTAGACAGCAAAATCTGCTTCTCAAGGTTTACTGTTTGAAGCAGGTAGACTACGTCAAGATCATGGCACTGAAATCTGCAAACCTTTCAGTATGGGGAGTTCAAACACAGGCTTTTCCTTCGGGTGTTGGAACTGCAACCTGACCACAGTGTTCGTCCCTCTTCAGCCCAGCAACCGATCTCCCATCCTAAATCCTTCTTCAAAGGGGATGGGAACGATGATCTTATTCATTAAATACAAGGCTGTTCCTGTTGCACCCTGTTACGGAATGAAATTATCCTTGGGCTGGCTGTTTGTTTCCGTCTGGAGAAGCCCAGCAGACTCCAAAAATCTCACTAGTGCTCTTGATGTCAGATGAATGCTGGCAGTTCAACATTTTTGTGTCACAAGGCTTCATACTGGTTGTTACTGACCGGAAAATGGTGTTAGAAATGAAACACAAAATTTGATTGGATTAACCGATAGAAATGAAGACCTGTATTAGTAAGTGTACGTATCTGGCTACGGTAATGATGATCACTTTGATATCCCAGCAGTCACTTCGGGAAAGCATAGGCCATATTTCCTAATAGGAAAACACTGACACCTGAATAAATTGAATCTTTTAACTCATTAGACCAGCAAAATAATGAGATCATGTGTTAGAGACCGTCACCACAAAGTGCTTTACAGATTTCAGTAACTTGTATCCACCTGTGCCAAATTCTAGCTTATGCTCTGTGAGGGAGGTTCAGTTGTTTTTAGGGACCAAAGTACATAGCCTTTCGTGGTAGGGCCGGAACCGGACTCTTCCTAAACATGCTCTTTATTTAAGTTTCTAGGTCTGGAAGACTGGGCCCTTTTGAAAATGTTCTTAGTGGGGGATGAGCGGGATTTCATAGCTGCAGGGAACGACTGCAGAGTGGTCAGAAATTTGGCCAGTCTTTGTCCTCCTCCTGGGGCAGAGCATGCTGTTCCCTCGCACTCTTTGATGGGAAAACTTCAGAGATGGCCCTGGGGAGAAGTCTCAGCCGGGAAACAGCCAAGGGCTATGAGCTGGGAACTGGTAAACTGCTTTCTCCTGCCAAACAAGACAGAGGTATCAGTAGTATTTTTACTTTTTTTACTTCTTTTAGGAAACCTGTTTCTTAGAGTGACTCAAGTTGAGTCCTTTCTACTCCATTCACACATAGTTTAATGGGAATGAAACCAGTAGAAACTTCCATTGATGTCATTTCTGCAGTGTCCTTCAGGGAGATGCAGGAGGAAGAGGGTTTGGGGTGGAGAAGAGGAACCCTTGAGAGGAAAAGCGAGAGCTTCTTCAGACTCCCTCACATCTAACCACGGGCTGGTCTGTTTGGAGTGTCTGGAGGATTATTTAGGTTGACATAGGGTTTGAAGCTCTCGTAAGGAGCATTTTTGTCATGCAATATCTGGATATAGTGACGCCCACTTAGTCACAGCATTGCCAACTTTTCTTAGTGATTTAAGATCACAAATGAGGAGTACAGGAGTTCACTGGTAGTATTGATTGGGATTTGATGCTGCTGATCAGATATTTGGTTATGCAGAATCACATTTATATAAATTGTGATTTCACCAGGCAACCCAATCAATCATATCTTATATGATTATTACATCTCACATGAATTAGGCACTTCAAAATGAAGTTCAATATGAATAGAAATCATAGCACAGAAATGTAAACTCCTCTGCTTCCCTGCACCAGGATTCATGGGGTTGAGTATAAACTGGCAATGGCAGCCTCAACACAAGATGTTGGTTGTTTCCTCCCACAGCTAAGGCTTCAGATAACCCAGCAACCACATTGCCCATAGAGGCCATAAACCATGCATAGGAGCCGTACCTCAGCTGCTTATGAATTGCACATAGCTCAAGATCTTCACATTGGCTACTACTACCAACAGTATAGCTGCTAATTTCTTTTCTTGCCTGCAGTAATACCATATTTTGGGAGTTACACAGAGAATTTCTGATGTTAACTTGCATAAATAAATGTTTTTTATATCTCAGGACCCCAAAAAATACTCAACTGGCTTTTTAAGACATC